CATTTCAAGCAACCTTTGCTTTGTCTTAGGATTGCTTTGTTTTTATGGGAATGTTAAATCTTAACACATGAGCAACAAATGACTCAATTTTGGGCAAAATCAGAATTGTCTTTTTGAAAATCTTACTGCGTTTGGACTTCTCAACATGGGGAGTGATCTCAATATAATAAGTGTCCTTGAAAGAGGTAAGCACAAATATATTCACTCCATACTGCAATTCATTGAGAAAAGATCCATTAGCCAACTGAAAATAGCTTCCAAGGAAGGCGAAAAAAGATATCTCCCATGGATCACTATAAAAAAAAGCTCCTATCCCAAGGGTTCTGTAGCCGGGGTTATGCAACCCTTGCTACTTTTTCAGAATTTTATTGTACCAACGTTTTGATTCAAGGGCCTGAGAACCCTTACTACAGAACCAAATTTCATCCGCCCCTCCAATCTCTAGCTGAAATCCCCTGACATTTTTTAGTTCTCTTGGATGATTAAAAAATCCCCTTTCATTTTTTCCCACCCATGTTCGTTGATTCCACTCGAGTGCGATAAAAAGGTCTAACGAGAGATTGTCTTGTTCACCGAATTTATCATCACCGATATCCGACGACCGCCTATTGTCTTGGCCGCCGTTTCTCCTCACTCGCTCCGGCTGAAAGTCAATTCGGTCTCCGTCTGAAAGTCAATCTCGGTCTCCCTCCTCACTCGCTCCGGCTGAAATTGGACTCTGTTAGGTTATAGATTCGACTTTCTCTGTTAGATTATAGATTCGACGTTCTTAGGGATTGTAGTGCCAATGCGATATTTAATCTTAGGGATTGTAGTGCTGGAAGAAAGGCGCTTTTTATCTTCTTGCATCAACAGGTTAGTTTCAACATTGTTTTCCTCAGTTACTTCCTGATAAAACTTATATGTTATTGAACAATTATATGCTTACAGGATGCATTCCACTAGATCTTGGAAAGTTTACATGTTTGATCTGTAAGTGTGTTCTGCTAGCACGAGGCTGTTGTGCTTGCGTCACAGTTACTTTTTTGTGTATAGCTAACTTCATGATTGTCATTATTAATCTTCGAGGAATGCTGCAAACAATTTGCTAGAAGGATAGATTGCTATAATCTTGGCTCATACACGAACTATAACAATATGTAACGCATCTGACATGACTACTACTGTTGATTTTGCTTCTTAGAGCTTGAGTAAGTGCTATTCTACAGAGTACAGAGTAATTCGACCCCATAACTCTCACTCTCTATTGTCATTTTAAATAATTGAAATACAAAGGAAATTTTTTTGTCCTTCTTCTCTCTCTCTAAAACTGTCACTCAGTGTTATTAGGTTGCCATAACTATTACTCTTACAAATTATTTTCTTTTATGAACAGTGTGCTACTAGGGCTCCTGCTCCATCTTTGGGTTCTCGAGCTTCGTAATATGATGTCATCGTGAATGTCTTATATAAAGAATTAGATCATATGATCTGCCCTTTAGTTTTTAAGTGCTTAGAATACTATGGACATACCATGCTTCTTTGATACGTTTCAATTGTTTTGGTAATTCACGTGTAACCCTGTAAATAATATTGTTTTGGATCATAGTATGTTTATGCTATTAATGATGGATTATTCATCGCGAAATACTGCTCTGCTTTAATCATGAATTATGCAAGACCCTGCAAGGGTTCTGTCCCTTGCTAGTCTTTGCAACATACTAGCTTATAACCCGGCCGGTTGGCCGGGTAGGTTAGTCAATAATTCTTCATTGGATCTCTATTACTTAGCAAGGATAATTAGTGATTCCAATTTGAACCTACCATGTGGGTATTACTTGATCTGACCTGTAATAGGGCGGGTATTAGTCGACCCACAGTAGAATGGGCAGGACATGGTATCAACTTCCAACCCACTTTGCTCCGCCCCGTCTCATTCTGCTCAACTTGTTAACGTATTAATATATATTTCTCCTATGAGGCTGTTTAGGAATGTCGGTTTTGGAATTAACTAAGTATTTCTGTTTTAATCCTTTGAGGCTTCCTTTCTTAAATTTCCAACACTTAGGAATAGGATTGTTAGTCGGTGCGGTTTCGATTTAACCGAACCGCACCGTCGGTTAGCCGAGACCGAAATCAGCCCATTTCCCTCAACCGAAGCCGACACCGAAAATACCCTCGGTTAACCGGCAACCGAAACCGCCGGTTTCGGTTTGAGCGGGCGGTTGGCCGAAACCGCATGAGTTTTCACCGAAAGTCTCCCCTTATCACTAGTTTTTTGAGGAAACATGAGCACAAAGAATGGTTTCCATAAATATTCACTAATTAACCCAATTGGTTTACATCAAACCTCAATCAAGTGCAAGGGAGACCTATATGGTTTACATTAAACCTCAAAAAAACCTAGACCCAATTCACTACTAATGTTTTTGTTCTGTTCGAGGCTTACATTGGTGATGGTGAATCGATGATAGAACAGCAGAAGACGGCGGGAGAACAGGGCAGAAGACGGCGGGATTTCGGGGCAGACGGCAGCGTCGGGCGTCGGCAGGAGTCGAGTTCTGGGAGGGAGTTCGGCGACGACGACTTCTGTTGGAGGACAGCGGCGGCGCGAAGGCTGGGAGCGGCGGGAGGGCGGCGATGCGACGCGACGAAGGCTGGGAGCGAGAGGATTGAGGAAGGCGCTGCGACGGCCGATGGCCGACGAGCTCGACGGGGACGAGGCGACTGGCGGCGGCCGGCGGCCGGCGACGGGAGGGGCTAGGGTTCAGAAATGCGGAGGAGCGGCGGGTGTGAGAGGGGACTGGGGAGAGGCACGATTTTGCGATTTAGGATTTTAGGTCATTAGGGCAGGGGAGGAGGGAAGGAGAGGTTGTCTGTCTGGGGCGTCGGTTTCGTCGGTTTTGCAGCGGTTAATTTGTGCGGTTGCGGTTTTTAACCGCTAACCGCGAAAATTGCCCACTGGCCAGTGATGTCCAACCGCAAACCGCAATAAACCGACGGTTTTCGGTTGGTCAATAAACCGACGGTTTCGGTTCGGTTTCGGTGGTAACCGACAAACCGGAGACCGATTAACAGCCCTACTTAGGAAGACAAATTAAACATAACTATTGTTAAAAATATAACTTCTAAGAAGATAATTTTCTAATATCCAAGCGTGATTACTCTTATCGATTATGCAAAGCCACACTCCCCTAGCTTATTGGATTCAAAGAAGTTGTTTGTGTCAGAGTAGGAGAGCTGAGCTACGAATAGTAAAGCTTGCAATGAACCTTGCTGCTATGTGAAGTAAAAAATTGAAATATAGCTATGATAATAACAACAAATAAAAGAGTGTGTTCAGAGGAGCGTGACCACAAGAAAAGAGCACTCAAAATGCATCAAGCATATAATAAAACCAATACAATACGACACCAGAAGAGGCCTGGAGATTCCAACTACCAACTGCCTGCGAAGTAAGGAAGCAGCAAGCTTGGCGATTCCTTTCACAATTGAATATGCGAGCACTGTGATCCAGTTCAATGTTGACACAAAATGCACGACCCAATTCAGATTCAAAACCCAACCTGCGTATGAACTTCCTAGCAAACTCAAATTGGAAGTTAAAAACCCCTCAACTTGAGAATCAATCATTGTCATGGAGACCCACATCCAGGCAATAGAACTAACCTATGAGGAGACAATTTCGACACAAATCAAATTGGAAATGGAAAACCAACCCAAATTGTGCATCAATTGCTTTTTTTTTTGCCATAACCATGGGCAAATCAAAACGAACCTGATGTTATCTCCCTCGGGAAAGATTGTCTTCTCGACACCGAACAAACATCAGAATCGGACACCTTTTGGTTCCTCACAAAGATTTACTTCTCAGCACTGAAATCGGAAGAAACATATGTAAGATGATAAAGTTCGGAGACAAATAAGCACAACTATGCTAAGAAACAGAACATTTACAAAGAATCTCAAACAATACGCATTCAGCTCTAACCTGCATACTCCAAGTATTTTAAGCATATCTCGCTCTTTAGATAAGGCATTTTCTTAGCATGATCTCACATTAGCAAGGTGTCATGCTTTCAGCATATACCCCACCATTCTTCAACACATGATACCAAACAGTTCCCACATAACAAACCACAGTTAAGAACATTTCATCAGGTATGTAATACAAGTTCTTCGCTAGATAAAACCCCAGTTCCAACATCAAGTTCCAAACTTTGGCAGCAGATTATATCGTGTAAGACCAATATATAACCTCTTTACCCAGCAACTCAAGAGGAATTGTAAGGATGAGTTCCTTTTAAACACATTTTGCCAATTGAACACTTCAGTGGGCGGTGGATCACTGGCTACCAAGTAAACCACTACACTTAGTCATCTAATATTGATTCAACAAAAGTAACCAGATCCAGGGCATGATCGGTGGATTCCAACTGGTGGGTGTAATTCAAAATTCAAACTCAAAACCGAATAGATCCTCTCCGGTCAACAGAATTCAACTCTTAGTCAAACACCGAACTAAAACAAACACGTCTCCAGACCAGAACAGAGGACAACTAAACTCGAATTCTTTACTGCAGAAACCCCAGCCCGTACAAATCCTAAACGCAGAAACCCCTGCAATTCCAAATATAAAATTGGGATATGTAAGCACCCAAATAAACCGCACAGGGTAAACCCAACTTGAAGAACCCAAACAACAAAACATGAATGGAAAATTGCACACAACCAAAGCACCGGAAAAGCTTGTCTTTGTCATAAATCCAGATGGGCGGAGAAAGTTAGTCTAATATACAGGGCTTACATGTTGATTATTTTAACCCACAGTCGCTAAACTCGCATCCAAGAAAATAGATCCTGATGAAGAAAACCATCGATGTCAGAGAGAAAATTGTGTAAATTGGGAACTGAAGAATCGTGAGAGTACAAAGTGAAAACGGGAGAGAGGTGAAATAAGAACAAACCTTAAAAACCAATATCTCACCTCATAACGATGGGATTTGCAAATTTGATTCCCCTCAGTCATGAATCCAGTCGCCATCCACCACGGTCCCCTCCAACGCGGATCTGCACCTTAATACTCAGAAAATTAAGTAATATACACATACACAAAAAATCAGTATACGATTTAGAGGCCGGTAATATCACCACTACCAAAATATTTATGTTCTACCCAACAAAACCCCCCAGAACAAACATGAAAGAGTCTGGAATCGACCCACAAAAAAAGAAACTGAGAAACAAAAGAGATACTAAGAGAATTAGAGAGAAAAAATCACGGATCCACATCTCACAATCCCTTGATCCCGCCGAGGGAAGAATGGCAATTACAATAGCTCATTGAATCTCACTAACAATTTGGATCATTACATTGGTAGAAAATTTAATTCCATGTCCGCACACTCAACAGACAACTAATCTTTCCAGCAATGATATGGATATTTCTTATGGCTACTTAGTTTGTGTTAACCAAAAATTATATGAGGCAGGTAGTATGGCAGATAAGATGTGGGTTTCTATAGTGCAAGCACACAACCATTGCACCAAACTCACCTTATATCGCACAACCGACCAACAACATGATTCTCAATCCCATAGTTCCGCACTAAACAGAACTGCCCGATCGACCGTGAACAGAAGTCGAAAAGTTGAGACATCAGCTTACTTGTAATCTGAGCATACAAACCAACCTAAGAAGTGTCGGTTTGAAGATGATGTAAGACCCCATCACTAATCTGTCAAATTATATCAGCTCGTGACCCAACAAAGGAAGTAGAAAGTTCCTTTCAGCTTTCCTTGACCACGACCAAAACCAAGTCTTCCCCGAATGATGTAGCTGTGATTCCAAGCGACAATTTCCCTCAACTACTCGGCAGAAAAGACAGTACAATGTGTTAGATAAAAGTTGACCATTGGGATAAAAATCTGGGTGCCTAGTTTAATTTGTGTACACCCTAAACAATTCATGATGTTCCTAATTCAATGCAACAGATTAAATCGAAGATAGGGACAACGTCTGCAACACACAAAAATTGGCCGCCTGAAGCATCAGGTCCCAGCGTCAAATGTGAGACATGGGTATGTTCCAATTGGGGAGGTAGTGCTTTAAATTTAGGCACGTCACAAAGCTAAAGCATTTCTCTCGATTGCAACTGGCCTGACATTTCTAAGGGCATCGATTCAGAACCCAGTTTAGGGTTTGGGTGGAGGGGATTGGAGGAAGACGATCTCACCTTGGACATGGCAGATTCGAGGGAGCTGAGATCGACGCTGCCGCTGCCAACTGGGGGATTTCTACGACATAAGATAATATTTTGAGCTTGAAGAAGGATTCGCCGGTAGAACAAAAGCGGCGGTTTAGGAATTGCAGGGGTTTCTGCGTTGAACGGGACAACTAAACTCGAAATTCTTTACTGCTCGTTCATCAGCCTTAACAATGGAGGAGAGGAAATAGCATAATCGCACACAGTGTAGGGGCGAGTGGATGACGACGGTAAAAGAACTTGGGGTTTCTTCACATCTCTGGAACGACTTTTCTTTTCCTGGGCTTAGACAATCAGTGGGCCCGTTCAACGTCTCCAAAAGAGCCCATTGCAATTTTCTGTTTCCAAAAGTACCCCTCCGTAAAACGCTCTGGAGGCAGGATTTTTGAAATGGGGATTCAGTTTTCCCCTTCAGCGTATTATAATTAGAGTAGATTTTTCCAAGGGTTCTAACCCCTGCAATATACGTCTCCCGACTAAATTATACACAGAGTTTTAGCAAGGGTTTTAATCCTTGCTACATGTACCAGTAGTTCAAACCCTTGCTAAAACCCTTGAATGGGACTTGCACCTAGGGTTGCTGAACACCCTTGCTAAACGTAGCAAGAGCAGCTTTGACAAGGGTTGTGTCAACCCTTGCTAAATCTGGTAGTAAGGATTAAAATCCTTGGTATAGATCAAAATAACCTTTGCCATAGACCATTCTTTTTGTAGTGGATCCTGGATTCCTGCAGAACCCTATATTTAAGTGATGGGAACTCAAGAAACTGACTATGCAAACAACAGAAGGAAACATACTGAATATGCTGCAAGCAGCTTGCAGCGTGACATGATCACCCCATTCACCAGGCCTATAGTTAATCAATAAAAAAAAGAAAATTAATGTAAGGATGAATAGTTGATGGACGAAAAGATTTATCAAGTGATACCAGGACGCAAGCATGCTTGTACATGTTCGTCAAATAGTCGTTGTAAGGCATAGGAATATACCCTTCGTACATTCCTGGGCAAGACCTCAGCTGGTCATGAAAACAAGGTTAACAGCATCAGTCACAGAAGTGGTAAGGAGATGGAAGGATACAGGAAAACACAATTACACTAGCTCACTTGATCAACCACTTGCTGCCTGACAACTTTGTGGTGCTCAGTAGAGCAATATAGTTGATCTGATAAAGCACAAAACTGAAAAACCATAATGTTAATGAGACCTCTAGGCTTTGACTACCTAGGGGTTGAAATTTTGTTCAAATATATAGTTGTTCTCTAAAAATAAAAATACAAGGGATCCAACCTGACAGTTACCGTCTCTTTGAACCTTATTCTCAATCTAAGTTCACAAACTTAGAAACCTTCGTTTTCCTCCTGCTAACATATTATCACATAGCGAGTCATGCTTTCAAGAATATGGAGAACTTTTTACACTCTACAGCTTACCTAAAGCCCAAATATATGATTCTGGACCGTAATGTATATACCCAACAATCTCAGGGGACATACCCTATACCTCCTAGAAACTGAAAGCAGACTAATATGCTGTAGAGAATGAATGATGTTAATAGTAAAGTCGGACAAGGTATGCAGACAATAGGCATTTTGTACTCTACTGAAGGAGTTACCCTTTTCCTGTTGATCTTGCATCTCATCCCCTGCCTTCTATCCATGTACTGCACATCAAATTTGACCATCACCAACTACCAACATAAATCTCACCGAATCCTCTACTTTAGTAGATACATAAAAAAAACTATAAAATACAACATGAGGCAAACATAGATTCCGTCGAATCTCTCTAAAAGACTCGGTCACATCCAGTTCTTTCTTAGTTCAATTTATGTTATTCAGACCTAGCACAGACACCAGGATCAAGCTCATCATTTCCAAGCAGTTTGGCAGCTGAGAAACACAGGCAAAAAACTTTTCGTGAAGGGATTGCTACTTACACTATAACAGGGTAAAGGCTTGCTGGTTAGTGGCAAGCTCCTCCTAATCAGCCATTGCTGCTCCGTTTGAACTAGTGAAGGGACGTTGAATATTAAAAGACCATGATAATCATCACTTAAATCATAGCTGTAACATGAACACACGTATCTATGACGACAACGAAAAAACAGAACTCATAACCCATATTCCACATGAGCTGCATTAGCAATCAGATTGGTTTTGGGGAGCCAAACAGAGTCATTATAGCTTGCCTGACCCATATTACGCCCATAACTGGCAAATACAGCTCTGCTGCCCCTAAGAGGAAACAGAACATACAGCAGTAGACAAAGCATGAAATCATGAACGAAAATTTGATGCAAAGTGTCAAGAGGTGCACCACTAAGTTAAAACTCATCACGAGGCTCTATTGATTAGCTATATTTCCCATATTCCATAAAAAGGAATATTTTCAAGTTCCCTTACCTCAAAAGGCAAAAAGCAAGCCTCCTGAAACAATAAGAGAGTGGTAGAAACATCACCACTAACTCATTACATGCCAATATCACTATTAATTGCCCAAAAGAACTAAACAAATATAGAAATCTAATCAATTAGTGAAATGAGTAATCCTCTGTCCCCTCTCCTTCCAATTAATCACTTGCTTATACAAATTAATCACTTGTTTATACGCTCAATCCTCATGCTACCATAAACTAAAACAGATCCAAATTCTTGATAAAAAAACACAGAATCCACAACCATGGAAACGAATTCAGGCTAATTGAACAGTAATAGCCCGGGCACTCACTCACACAGAGAGAGCATACTAATTTACCTCTTTAACTGTTTACCTTCGTAAGGCAACAATTAGAGGTGGCAATTAGGATCCAAATCCATGAATCCAATCCAATCCATCCACCAAATTATCCACCTAATCCAATCCATTTAAATCCAATCCATTTGATCCAAATCCAATTGGATTGGTGGATTCATGGATCAATCCATGGATCCAAATGGCAAATTACGATTTGGTACCTATATTTTTTATATTTTACATTTTGGTACCTAAAATTTATATTTTTATACGAAAAATATCATTGGTAAATTACGTTTTGGTACCTAAAATTTTTCATTATGACATTTTAGTACCTAAACTTTTCAAAATTTACATTTTGATCCAAGCCTTGGATGTTATTTGGATTCATGGATCAATCCACCAATCCATTGGATCCAATCCATGAATCCACCAATCCATTGGATCCAATCCATTTGATCCATGGAGCCACGAATCCAATCCACGAATCCACGAATCCGATCCAATTACCACCTATAGCAACAATTACCGGCAAAGTGGAGTCGTCGAGTTCCACCAGAAAGGCCATCCTCGATAGAAGTCTCGCCCATCGGCACCAGTAGTAAAATCAAGTTCCTCGTGATGTAAACCAAGCAGAAATCGGCTCCCAATCAAATTCTCGGGAGTGTAAAATCAAGGGGGAGTTTTCCGCAGTTCGTCGGCGGGAGGAAGTACATAGAGGGAAGATGCGGGTACCTACATGCAGGTATCATCCTAATCATGGCTGAATTGGATGACCACGAGCCGCTCTTCCTAGCAAAGGATGTCCAGATAGACGAACCATCCCGAGTGGAAGTGCGACGACAAGGATGAAATCGAGGCAGCTTCTGCGCACTTTGCTTGCCTCTTCGATGATTTGATAATTGGGGAACTTTGTTGGAATCCCTAACAATAGGAAGGGACTTTGGTCATGGATTTTATGGTCCGTCACCTCCATCGAGCTTGATGCCGAGAATCAATGTTTGCGGCGCGGGCTAGGGATCGAGGAGATGAAAGGAGAAACGTGAGGTATCAACATGTATGCGGGAATCTCTAAAGCTCGACGATCGCTTTCCCTCTCCAATTATAGACAGAATAGGGGCCGAATAGAAAACCAGGGAATCGTAGAAGGGAAAGTAGGGATTTTCAATTTCGAACCGGAACAAGAGATGAGATTAACAGTATATTTTGGCAACCAGAGGGGCAAGGTCGAGGGCAGGAGATTAACCACTTGGTTACTGACAGGTCAGTAATAAATAGTAACTGTAGATCTAAGAGTATTTTTGTCCGTTTATATATTAAATTCTTTATTTTTATTTTATTCCGTATTAAATGGCTGCATTTTAAAAAAAGGAAAGAGAAACCATTATTTCTCTGCAACTCTCATTTATTTTCTCTCTTCCTTCTCTTTTGCTTTTTCTCTCCCAATCTCTTTTCCAGATCCTCTCTCTTTCCTTTTTTTCTCTCAATCTCTTTTTGAGATCTAAATCTGCTCCCTTCTCTTTTTCTTTATTTTTTTCTCCAGGACGAATAAAATTTGCAGCCACTCTCTTTCATTGCATTTCTTCTTTTCATCATCTCGTTGGCCTCAATTTCGATATTTCTCATTTTTCGGCATTTTGGTGTTCTTGATTGCGAAAGAGGAAATGAGAGGCGACAGAAGATGATTTTTTTTTCTCTACCTCCTTCTGTTTTTTTTTCTTTTAGATAATATATATTGATATTATAACTCTATACCATATGGTATTCGGTGGTAACGAAATATATATTGATATTACCACACTATACCATATGGTAATGTATGGTATTGTGTGGTAACGAATTATATATTGATATTACCGCACTATACCATATGGTATTGTATGGTATTGTGTGATATTACCACACTATACCATATGGTATTATGTGGTAACGAAATATATATTGATATTACCACATTATACCACATGGTATTGGGTGGTAACGAAATATATATTGATATTACCACACTATACCATATGATATTGGGTGGTAACGAAATAAATATTGATATTACCACACTATACCATATGGTATTGGCTGGTAACGAAATATATATTGATATTACCACACTATACCATATGGTATTGGGTGGTAACTGGTAACATAATATATATTGATGTGGCAAATTTTTTCATACCATATGGTATGATTTTATTTAATACCAGTCAATACCATATGGTATGACTGGTAATAACTGACAAATTTTTTTATGTCCAAAAAATATCAAAGTGGATATCATTTTGAAGAGCACAATTAATCTGATCTAACTGGGCAAAAAAAATTAAATTCCGACTTAAAATTTTAATCGGTAAGGGGGGCAATTGATAGACCCAGTTCTTAACCGATAATACACTCGATAAATTGTTAATTATTGCGGTACCCGAAATACCCGAAAATTTGTATTATACCATCAGAATCCTTCATTGTTTTTTTCCTTTAACTACTGTTATTGTTTTTTCCTTTACTCACTTTCTTATTTTTTCCTAAACTTCTTATTTGTACTTTTCCATAACCATTATTCTTGTCTTATTCTTCCTTCCTTTTCCCTCTCACCCATTTGTTTTGTCCACGTGAGAAAGATACAGACACCATTCCATTCTCCTTCTTTCCCCAATCTTTCTTCTATTTTCATCCACTTGCATACACATGCATGCATACATACAAACCTTCCTTCCTAATTATTTATACCTTTCATCCCCATGACTTCTTCCTATCTCTCATTCACTCCTTTATTTTCAATGACATACCAACACTTTCTCATACATTCTCATACATACTTGAACTTTCCCATATACTATAATTAGTGAGGAATATTGGTGTATAATGGAGAATGTTAAGGTATAGCGGAGAATATTAAGGTATAGTGGAGAATATTGGTGAATGTTAACGTAAGTCGAGGAATTTAACTACAACTTTTTCCTATAAATAGGGAGCACCCCTCCCCCTTTCTCATAACAATAAGTCACACACACACCACCACATAAGTCGCTTACGACTACTTCACACAACACAACTCACACATACACTCTCTCTATACTTTCTCTCTCTAAAAATGTTTTCTCTCTCCTCTTGATCTCCCAAAACGTGTTAAACCTCAAAACACTCAACACACCCTCAATTTGGCGGACTAAGCCATAGAATCGTGGATAGTCTCCACCGGGCGGCATTAAATAGCCGACGACGCTCAATTACGACCGTGGGACCGAACCAGGTCTAACGTCATCGTATTTATTTTATTCCATTGAGATTACTAATTCGAGCGTCAGAGGAGGTTCCAACCAGGACCCCCCCCCCCCGGTGGGACCTTTTTTCAGGTATTCGCACGGAGCTGGAGGTGGTTAAAGGCTTTGAGAAATCAGCGCTCTCCGGACCTAAACATATTGAAGCAGGCTGCTCTAAGCTTGGCATCAACAATTGGCGCCCACCGTGGGGCCTGGTGAGAAGAATATTTCCAAAGTTTTCACAGACCACCACCCAGCCGTGATGAATACCCAAGGCTCTCCCAGTATTCCTACCATTGAAGCAGTGCGTCGCTCTTTAAGAGTAATCGAGACTGGGGGCAACCCAACCCCCCGTTCACCACTCAGCGATGCACCGAGTCAAAATACAGAGCCTCGAGTGGTGCCACTTGCACATACTACCTCTATTCCGACACCAGAAGGAATTCTCACCCCTACTCCGGCACAAGTACGTGAGATGCAGGCTGAGATTGAGCGACTCAGAGCTGAACTCAGAGCCAGAGAGGCCTCCCATATTAATGCTCCTGGTTCCTCCAGAGTACCGACACCAAACGACCAGGAGAGAGTTGTTGCCCATGGCTCGATCAATGAACCACCAAATGCGACATCAGCACCTGTTGGATTAACCGTCCCGAGTCTCTCAGCCAATCTACTCGAACCATCCCAAGGACATGGAGTTGTCTCTTCAACCGGAGTAGGAGGACCTCTATCCAGAATCGTGAAAGATGAGCCCTACCCACCAAATCTCCATTTACCAAGCTTGCCAGAATATTATGGCACCACAGATCCAGAAGACCACCTTTGCTCTTTTCAAATCTTAATGCCATTAATCGGAGCATCTGATGCAACAATGTGCAAAATCTTCCCAGCAACACTCCGTGGAGATGCCCGACGATGGTACTCAAAGTTACACGATGGTATTATCTCAGCTTCTTCGAATTTGCCACTCTCTTCAGATGCAAATTCTATGCACAGAAAAAACAGCCTATCAGCATCCATCAACTCCTCAGCATCAGGCAGCGTGATGATGAGACACTCAAGGCATACTATGCTCGATATAGTAACATCGTCATCGGACTTACATCCATCTCCACGGAGATTGCCACCAATGCCCTGATGCGATGGACTATCAACACTGATCTATATGCTTCTCTTGCAAAACGGGCTCCCCACAGCACTATGGAGCTTCAAGAACGAGTTTCAAAATATATTGATCTAGAAGAGGCACTTCAGGAGGTTAGTCGGGCAGGATCCAAAAGAAAACTAGAAACTTCATCCCAGGATTCTCGCCGACAACGTCAGGTTCCTGCGCCTGAGGGCCGAAACTCTTCCCAAAATTCCAGAAGGGAAGCCACCCAGTTACAACAAAGCTATACTCCTCTTAATCGCTCTAGACAAGCCATTCTTCATGTCATTCGGGAGAAGAAAATTCCCATCACTCAACCTCCTCCAGTTATGAGGGTTTCAGGAAAGGGCCAACAATTCTACTGCGAATTCCACCGATGCGCAGGACATGATACAGAAAGTTGTTACACCCTCAAGCACTCTATTGAAGGACTTATCCAACGAGGCTATCTTCGAGACTTTGTAAAGAATGTTCGTCCCCCCTATTCTCCCTTCACCTCCAATAATGGACAAAGGAAAAGCACCACAGGGAAGTGGATCGGTGTTGGGAAATGTTTCTGTCATTCATGGCGGGGTCAAATTATCCGAACATGTTGGTTCTCGCTCAACCGCTGCCCCAAGGTTGGTCGGTTCCGCTTCTACCACAAAAATTCCCATATCTTTCGACGATAGGGATCTTGAAGATATCGAGTATCCTCATGATGATGCCTTAATCATTAAGGCAGTAATTGCAAACTATTCTGTGCAACGAGTCCTCATCGATGGAGGAAGCTCTGCAGATCTTTTATTCTACCCAGCTTTCAAGTCCATGGGTCTTCAACTAAACAAATGTCACCCTCCTAGCATTTACCTCGTGGGCTTCTCCGGAAATCAAGTCCCAGTTCTGGGGATTCTCCCACTCCAAGTTCGTATTGGCAATGACCAACAAACCGTAGAGAACACAATCAACTTCCATGTTATTGACTGCCCTTCCGCGTACAACTGCATTCTTGGGCGCCCTTTTCTACATCAAGTACGGGCTATACCCTCAACTTTTACTTAAAATTGAAGTTCCCAACTATTGCCGGAGTCGGGTGTGTGAAGGGAGATCAAGCTCTTGCACGACAGTGTTGTGAGTTCTCCCTTAAAGATGGCTTTGTGGCCACGATGGAAGCCAAAGACGAGGTCGCTCGTCCCGTTCCCGTTGACCCTGATGAAGAACACACATTAGAAGAAGGGCGAACCGTTCGTGTATCCATGGCATGGCCTAAAAATTATCTCCCACAACTTCTCAGTTTGATGATCGAGTGCAAAGAGCTCTTTGCTCAATGACCTGAGGATATGCCTGGTCTCGATTCAAAAGTTTCCGAGCATACACTAGAGATTATCCCCGGTAGCAAGCCCATCCAACAAACAAGAAGGAACTTTGCATGGGAACGTCGCCAGGCCATAGCAGAGGAGGTAATCAAGCTAGGGCAAGCCGGCTTCATTAGCGAGGTTCTCTACCCAACATGGTTGGCTAATGTGGTCATGGTTAAAAAGGCCAACGGCCAGTGGAGAATGTGTGTTGACTTCACCGATCTCAACAAGGCTTGCCCGAAGGACCCGTATCCCTTGCCCAAGATTGATCTGCTTATTGATGCGACCGCCGGTCATCGCCATCTCTCTTTTCTTGATATATTCTCAGGGTACCACCAGATCCCACTAAAGAAGGACGAGCAAAAATATACTGCCTTCATGACTCCGGTAGGAAATTATTGCTACAAGGTGATGCCGTTCGGCCTCAAAAATGCCGGAGCTACCTATCAACGTATGGTGGATCGAGTCT